AGAGGAAGCTCTCGAAGATTACAATCTAAGTCTCCGCTTTCTTCCAAACTTCTTATTGCAGATAAAATTGTAGGTATCTGACAGAAGAACGTAAGATATAACTCACAAATCAATAGCAACTATCTGCAAGAGATAACACACCGAATTTCTGATCAAGTCTTCTGTTAAAGTTTTGTGCATCAATTCGTCGTAGGTGTGCAATAGTGAGTCACAGAACATCCTATACGTCCAGTCTCGATTGGCAAGTGCGCTCGAAACTACAATTTGGGCGATACGGTGTGGCCGGTAGAAGTCGTAATAATGTTGCTTGTATGCATCGTTGGGAAGCTTCAGGATGTACCACGCAAATTGGGTTTGAATGGACATTGGCCTAAACAGTACTGAATGAGACGAAACGTGGACAGAATGAACAAGAAACGTACTCGTCTGGAGAAGTATAGTCAAAGTAATGGTTGAAGATGGCACTGGTCCGTAGTCTCTGTGATTGGTTTTCATCTTCATCTAGTCCGTCGTCTTCTTGTCCTTCGTCTTCTTCATTCGCATACATCGGCAGCACATTCCCTACAGCCTCGAATGCTCTGTCTACGCCGTCATTGTCTTCGAGCAACGACAGGGATATATGCGCGTTGCTGTGCTTCGGGTCGAAAATCACGAAGTCGGTGAGGATACGGACGGGTTTGTAGCCAATCTCTCCATCGCCTTTTGCATCCTCGGGGTCGGAATCTTCTCCAATGATGACGGGATTCTTCCTTTCATCGAGGTCCCGCTGGTTTGGAATATATCGCTGTTGGTCTGTCGGTAACCTTGAGTTCTCTATGATAAAGCCATCTTTGTTTACAATCACTTACTATTTCCAGCCGAAGACGACAACGCTTGTGGCTGTGGTGTAGAGGATAGAGAAGACCGAGGACGTTTGGGTATCTGAAGTTATATAGACCTCGAATAAGTGTACAATACTTAGAGGCGAATCAACCTATTCGCACCGAGGTTCTCGAGGGTGCAACAGATTCCTCGTCGTCACTATCATCTGTTTCCACATAATCCCTAATCCTCTTCTTTCCCTTCAAAAGATCTCTTGTTCTCCTATTGACTGCACTTTCCATTCTCGAGTTTTCATGCGCAGAGGTAGTTGTGTTTGGTTTCTTCCCATTCGCCTTCTCACTGATACTTACACTACCGAATCTACTAGATCCTGACGCGACAGTAGTACTCCTTGCAGTAGACGAGCTCACAGAAGGCACAGTAGACACAGACCGGGAGGGAGACCTATAATTCGTAAAATTGGTGGATGATCCTGAGGCCTCACCGGGAAAAGAAACATCAAATGCGCTTGGTCGATTCCTTCGCGACATTGCTAATTGAGAGGATACTCTGATGAAGATTAAGAATTGTCGTTTGGTAGTACAGAAGTGAGTGGCAGACCCAAGGCAGACCGACTCGAGTTTACCACACGTGGAAAACTCCGTCTTTATGGGCGCTTCAATGTCAGTAAATAGCAGTAAATCATCTTCATCTGCATCCACCATCACCGCACTAAAGCTTCAGACTCGCGTTATCATCCTGGCTTCTCAAGATGGCTTCAAGCTTGATGACTACTACCACATACTCTCTATCTCGCCTTCTGCTTCCTTTTCTGAAGTAAAGCTTGCATACCATAGAACATTACTCATATATCATCCAGACAAGCGTTCAATATCGAATTCCTCAGTTGTCGATTCTGAAAATTCAAGTGAAGACGGAATCGACGTTGACCTGATTAAACGTGCATACTTGACTTTATCATCCCCGGGTCTCCGAAGGGAATATGACAAGGCTCGCGTCTCAAATCCCACTGGTCCAAGACCAGCACAAGTTCTCTCTTTAGACGACTTCGATGAAATCGATGATATACAGTATGGTCACACAAAATGGATTTATGGGTGTAGATGCGGAGGACAATACGTAGCTACGGAGAGTGATTTGGAATCTGGACAGCATCTTTTTGGGTGTAGCAGTTGTTCAGAGGTAGTCTGGGTTGGCTATGAAATGATAGAGGAAGCGGATGGCTGATTCACTTCAAGAGCCCGTGTTGATCTTGTTGTAAGTTTGCGAATTTCTGTTGAAAATAATGTATGATTTGAATACTGAGACAAGCTATAGAGATACGACCTGTCTGCCCAGCAAAGGTGTCTAACCTTTCAAGAGGAACGGTCGAACTTTTCACCGAATTCAGAATCGGGTCATAATCAAGGTATCACTACGTTCAATTCAGTCTTCCTGGCGATCCTCCATGCCACGAAGCAGTTCTTGCACGTTGTCTCGGTACTACGTTCGTATTGAAATCTGGCATTGGTGGCCTCGATACGATTTGGGGACGATTCGTGGGGCTAGAAGCAAGTTGGCGATAGAACCTCTCGAAGAGAGCAAGCTATCTTTCTTCGTTGAAAGAGCACGCAACGAGGAGTGGAGTGGTTTGATTTCTTCGTATCAGATGCAACGTTAGAAAACTGGAGGTCGTAATCTCAATATAACGCTGGTAACATCACGAACATATGATATATTCGTCAAGCTCTTAACCACAACATGAAATAGTACGTATAAGCCTACGCACGGACGTGGCTCAGAAACATCTAAACCCAATCCGACGCATTGCAAACCTCACTTCAGAGCTCTCGCTCTCAACTCCGTAATCCATATATCGCCTCTACATTCCCAAACTTTCACTACTTCCAACCCAGCTCTTTTCGCAACAATATCCAATTCCTCTGATGTACGCTCTCTTCCATTCACAATCGCCATCACAGCCATATCTGTCTGATGAATACATCGACTGGCGAAACCATAGTTAGCTAGAAGAGGGTATGGAGCTGGTTTTATGTATGGTGAACCATGTGTCGTTTGAACGACTGCATCACAGACTAGAATTCGGGAGTTGGGACCTAATGCAGGAACGAGTGCTGAAAGTATTTGAACGCATTTGTCGTCGGACCAGTCATGTCTGTAGAACATACCGATGCGATATTAGTGACAATAAGGTAAAGAAAAAAAATCAAAGCAACGTACAGAATATATCTTAGATGATAGACATCTGCATTTTTAACTGGTTGTTCATTGAAGAAATCGTGAGGAATAAATTGGACTTTATCGGCATTGAGTATTTCTAGGGCTTCCTTTTGCCATACTCGAGGAGCTTGTTCCAAGGCTAACGCTCTATCTTGAACGATATTCTTCAGATTCGGATATTTCTTCGAAAGCTCGATACACATCCCACCTATCGAATAATAGTTGTCAGCAATCCCGGTATAGGTTTGATTCTCGAATGAATACTAACCAACACCACCTCCAACATCAACAATAGTAGCATTTCCAAGATCGGCCCATGGATAATCTATAAATCTGATGAATCCAGACTACGATTATAGCGTATGATATGTTACCTGAATGTAAAGGAGGTCCTTGGACGTTACCAACACCAACCATAGCTAGACCAAACAACTCCGATTCGGGTTTTGGAACCACTGTGCCATCTGGAAGGGTAATCTATTCTTCTAACCATTCGAAAAATGTACTCTTTGACCCAATAGTTTCTTGAAACGCTGTTTGATTGATAGATTCGGATTCAGTCTTGACAGAGTCGAAAAGAATACGAGGAAGTTCGCTTGAAGCCCTGTAGGTTGCTCCAGATCTGAAAATTAAATTGACTGAAAAATCAGAAACGTCTTGAGGTACAAAACGATTCGACTAGGCCTCGAGAGAAAAACTGACGTTTGGAAAATTAAGAACGAAAGAAGATATTCGTTGTCGACCATTTTTTTCGCTGACTTGGTTGTTTGTAAAGTATCCTTTCGAAACTTCAGCAAAGATATGGATGGAACACAATGTTCTTAATACTCTAGCTAGAATAACGAAAATACGAAAAAAAAAATGATGATAAGTAGTCAGACTCGGAGTCGTGTTGTTGCAAGATCGAAAATATTGAATAGTACTATAATAGCACTGCAGAATGTCACGTAGCTCACTCACCCAATTTATGATCCTTTATTCCAGTTGTCTTACTCAGTTCCTCGATCGAAACACCCTTCACTTTATCCCCTTCATTCAAAATATCCGCAATACGTGCTCTAGCCACAATATTCAAAGAAACACCTTCATAATGTTGAAGTGCCAATTCCGTCAATCTTTGTTGAGGATCTTGAACTATTTCTAAGATTGAACCGACAGAACCTTGAATTGTTTTCCGCGCATTGTATAATTGATGTGAAGGAAGTGGAGGAAGAGTTGAACAATGGCCCGGGGTAGAGTGGTCATCGACATCATTCGGCCCAGGATTTCCAAGAGCTTCAGATTCCCAAGCGGTGATAACCTGTTCAGAAGCGTCCACAAGGAGCTCTACAGCGGCACGTAGTTTGGAGATACGTTCTTCAAGCATTGCTGACCCGGGCGTGGGGGAATCAAGTGAGTGTAAATTCAAGAGTTCCCGCCCACCTTGTCCGAGATAAATACATCTTGAGTGGTCAAGGAACAAACGTACAAAAACATTGTCAGGGCTATTTCCTGAAACTGATGAAACAAAGAGATTGTTTTCAATAATTGGCTTGGATTTCTATGCATATAGACGGTCACTTACCTGTTGTCAGTACAGTATCTCCGAGTATCGACGAGTGTTCAACAGACTGTTCGCTTCAATCTTCAGGCTTCGTCTCTACATCGGATGACTGATTTATAGTAGTCTAGTATGGCCGTACGTGTCATATGTCCTGGTCTCCTGGATGAATTTGATTTATTATCCAAGGATGTAACGTTACAGAAAAGAAAAAAGACTTGCCTTAGTAATTCTTGTCTGAAGTCTGCACGTAAGTAAGTAAGCCAGCGTACCGTGCCGATGATACATGCCAGGACCTTTTCAGTGATATCCAAGCCTGAGTTGTTCAAGTTTCTGATTGCGATGTATTCACAGCCGCAGATTTAGAGTTGCTTGAATAGATGTAGTTAATATATAATAAACGATATTACCTTGCAACGGCCCAATGGTCTAGGGGTAAGATACTTGCTTTGGGTAAATCACCTGCCTGCAAGGGATCCTGGGTTCAAATCCCAGTTGGGCCCTTTTATGTCCATAAACACATTTTTTTTGGCAGATTATCATTTCTTTGAATAACCTGTACGAATAAATCTACGATCAATAGTAACTAGAGATACTCTAGTCCGAAAGTTATGTAAAGAAAGAGAGGTTTTAGAGACGGGAGATACTGGACCATGAGGGGATAAAAAGGATCCGGGAAGAATATGTCCGAGTCAATACTGGTAAATGGCCAACCATGCGATATGCATACGATGCCATATGAATTGAAATCACCAAAGTGCGTGTATTCAAGAAAAAAAATTTAAAGAACTACAAAAATGAAGTAGGGGAAGTAAAAGTAAGAGGTAAAGTCAGAAGAAAAGTGATTGAAGTTTACGAGATTAGAGTACAGGAAGAAACACACCCAACCAACCAACCAAACGCATTTCTTTCTAAAAGACAAATAAAAGACAAAAAAGAAGAAAAACACAAAACAAAACAAAAATCCTTCATCCATGCACAGATGGAACATAAAATCATAAGCCAAAAAAACGCTTACGTACGGCGCAGCATGGACATGAAATGATGATTATACGACATCGAGGACAACTGGAATAATAACACATAACACAAACTCCAGGTATCACGACAAAAGGGGGAAAACAACAAGGGGAATCCATCACGCAAGGAACCGGGGAGGGTTTCTTTATTCCACTCCGTTAGGAATTACTGACCCATTCGTTAAAGGAATAGGGGTGACTCCATCTTCGGGTCCTGCCAAAGCTCCTTCGGCTGGAAGACCACCAACACCGAATTTCTGATCACCCACTTGGTGGAAATCTGTAATACCGTAGTTTGTTATCAGTTAGATTAGAACCAACAAAACGATGAAAAGGAGGAACCGACCTAAAATCTCAGAATACATCATAACCTTCCAGGTATCCACAGGTAGATCGGCATCGTTGAAGCTCCAATCGAATTTCTCTTCAGCTTCAGGCTCATCAGTTGGGTCGTGATAGGGTGCTACGTATTCATGAGCTAAACTCTCAGTAGCATTTATACGCTTTCGTGGATCGAAAACGAGCATTTTTTCTAAGAGGTCGATCGCTGTAATAAGGATTGGAATGAGTTAGCAATTTTCTACATGACTTATGAAGAGAATGTGGGAACGTACCAACTGGATCGCCACAATGTAATTTCTGGCTGAATGGAATTCGTTCACGTTTCGGTAGACTCTGAACGAACCGAAGAGTCTATGGAAAGGAACATTCAGATCGCGTTTCGAGAAAAAATGTCGAAGAACTCACGTTCTCACTCGCAATCGTCCGGATGACATCCTCAGGGGGAGTGCCCAACAGCTCTGTGATAATGGAAAACTGGTGTACATCTACTACGCATAAGAACCGGAAATGAGCAGCGGGGATAAATATGAAAACTCACGATCCTTTCCAGGGAACAAAGGCTTCCCTTCTAGCATTTCAGCAAAAATGCATCCAGCACTCCATATATCAACCGCGACATCGTATTTTTGCCATGTCAACATAATCTCAGGTGCACGATAATACCTCGTCGAGACATAGCCCGTCATTTGAGGATCTTGAATTCGGGCTAACCCAAAGTCGCAGATCTAATGACACATTGAATGTCAGCAGCTCGTAGGCGCAAAACCAGCGGCATTGTGCGCTATTTCCACAAATCAAGGTGAAACTCTCACCTTAAGATCGCAATTTTCATTAATAAGAATGTTGCTGGGCTTGAGATCCCGATGCACGACGCCCGCCGAGTGAACGTATTTCAGGCCTCGCTGAAAAGAATCAACAATTTAAAACGTGATAATAAGCAAAGGAAATTCCAAGCGTACCAATATTTGATACAGGAAATATTGGATAAATTGCTTTTCGAGGGGTCTCGAAGTCAGCAGACGATGAAGGTCAGTTCCCAGGAGTTCAGTGACAAAATAACTGGAATGGAAGGGTCAGCTTAAATGGGGGAACAGATGAAAAAGGAACTTGCATATCCTCAAGCGGCGAGATGAACACATCGCTCAGACTGATAATCTACGCCACAATCGTTCGAAGTTAGACGAAGACAAGCGTTGAAGGGCAGGAATGGACGCACATTCTCGTGTTTGATGTGTTTTAGCAACTTGAGCTCTCTGTAGGTTCTCTTACTCAATACCGGGGTGCTAAACGGCTTCATGATCTTCTTGATCGCGACTGATGAGCCTGTTAACTGGTCCTTGGCAGAACTACGAGTGCAGATATTTGAGGAATATTTGAAGACGGGGGGGAACGAGATGGAGCTCACCATACGAGACCGAAAGCACCTGAAGCAGCATACATACGTTCAGAAGCGAATCGATGCAATCGGTTGTAAGAGACGTACCCATTCCAACTGGTTGTAGATCTACATAACGGGTTGTGACCTATGAATAGGAAAAATTTAACGATGTTTTACGAAGAGAAATGTGGTAGCCGGTAGCGAACCTCAAAGGAGGTGCCGAAGATGCTGAGCTTGACGAAAGACATCGTCTAGGTGTGGTGTCTAGGGGTGTGTGGTCGATTTGATTGAGATAAGTGGGTACTTGGATGAGGGGCCTCTGGAGGAGATGGCGGGGTGGCCGTAGGCGTTGAGTAGATAGCGAGTGAAGACAGTTGGGGCTGCAGTCAGGGCAGTTTTCGTTGTTCTTCCCATCGCTGATGTCATACCTCATGTAAGCAGATTCATTGCACCCTTGACCTTGTCAATTTATTTTCGACACGGCTCTTTGTACTTCCAACATTTTCAGAAAAATACAACTAGAATGTATGCAACTGCTAGTAAGAAAAGTAAGTACCGAACTATTGAAGCAATTGTAATTGAAGGTGTTTGTCTATGCGAAGACCGATAAGTGTTATGACGTTGTTCCTCGGTAAACCCAAAGTGGTAATTATAAAAGCGCTCACCCAAGGCACACAAAAATCAGAGTCGATGACGGTCACTCCCCCAGTACGCCTCCTCCTTGTTCTCTATGTAGGTTCTTATATTCAGAAACAAGCCATGCCACTCACTTTGAGAATTTTGAGTCCCATTTCAACGTGTCACGTGTAACTTTCATCTCGTTCAATTGTCTCGGTCAAACTAGCGTGCTCAGAAACACGAAGATATACTCCAATTCACTAAATCCCAACTTCGTTGGAGATTAAGCTTGTTAGTCTGAGACAATGGAAGTTGAGTAGATTGCGAACGTAAGTCTGCTTGTCTTCTGATTCTGGACAAGTTACGAAAGATTGACGAAATGACATACGCGTCTCGGCAAAACTCGCGTGCTCAAATTGGGGGCGCCTTTGAATGTTGCTCAAAGTGCGTTGCATAAATTGCATTGCTTTTACACCCTAACCATCACCTCGAAATGTCTTTCTTACGGGCTTCATTCCGCGCAAGCACAGTAGTGCGTTTGAATATCTTTTATTGCTATTGACCTTTTCGTTCACACAACGGGATCCTAGGTTCGAAACGCACGGCGTTATACCACTGCGCCTGAAACCAAGAAGTCCTCAAATCTTCCTCTTTACCTCGGTGGAGCAGGTATAGTCCATTTCATTTTCTACAGTGGGGGAGGGGGGGGGGGGGTGCTCGGTTTCAGCTAGGCAAATGGAGGCATGGAACGAAGGGTTGTTCTCGTATCCCTCGTTGACATGAGTCCTGGTATTATGCTGGTGGATCACATCTAAAGGACAAAGGGCACAAACAAATCATTCAACGAAGCGCACCCCAGGCTCCCAGGCCTTTAGCCAATTCCCTCTCTCTGTGTCCACGAAAATGCTGACACAAACTGAAATATTTATTAGGTATTGCCGGATTAGCTACCTACATTTACCTCAGCCAATCCGAAACTGTCGTACCTAAAAAGGTACAGGAAAAGAGCCCACTCGACCCTAACAATTTCGTCGATTTCAAGCTCAAAAAGGTCGAAGATTACAACCACAACACAGCGAAGTACATCTTTGAACTTCCCAACAACGACGCGTCTCTTCTTCCTATCGCTTCTTGTGTTGTCGTCAAGTCTGCTTCAGATGCACCCGAACCTCTGGTAGATGCTAAGGGCAAGCCTGTCATTAGACCTTATACTCCTATTTCTCCTTCTGACCAGGAGGGAGAATTGACCTTTTTGATAAAGAGGTACGAGGAGGGGAAAATGAGTCAGTACATTCACGGTTTGAAGGTTGGGGAAAAGTTGGCTGTCAAAGGTCCCATCATGAAGATTCCTTGGAAAGGTGAGTATCTTCGTATATTTCTATCAAGTATGCTCGATTTCGATACTCTCACACAGTGAACGAGTTCGAGGAAGTTGGCATGATCGCCGGTGGAAGTGGAATGTACGTCTCCTGTCTTCCTTTTCAAAGAAATCTACTCAAAAAATGATATAGCACACCAATGTATCAAGTTCTTACAGCTGCTCTTTCTGACCCAGCCAACACCACCAAGTACACCCTCATTTTCGCTAACACCACTCCTGCCGATATCCTTCTCAAATCGGAGTTCGATGACCTCGTGAAGAAGCACCCCAATACATTCAAGGTCGTCTACACTGTTGACAAGCCTGACCCTACTTGGGTTGGAACAACAGGTTACGTTAACAAGGATTTGATCAAGGCTCACATTGCTGGACCAGAGAAGGGTGAGAAGGTCAAGGTCTTGATTTGTGGACCTCCGGGACAAGTCGTAGCCATCGCTGGAAAGAAGGCTGGTATGAAGCAAGGAGAGTTGAGTGGTGTCTTGAAGGAGTTAGGCTACTCTGAGGATCAAGTAAGCGTTTTATGACACCTTTTGTTCCTATCGCTGACAATACGTGTTTCTGTAGGTCTTCAAATTCTGAGATACCTCATAGATATATAAGTATCGTCGATCTACATGTTGTTAATCTTGCAAGTATCTCATAGATGAATTGTACTTGAACCTTCCATACCATCTCGTTAGTCTGGGTTTGCAACATACTTCCTTTCTCCCCGCGTTAGACATATGGTGAGTTCTCTCTCTCCCCAAATGACGAAAAGCTTAACTC